TAAATTCTGCACAAGTTTGATCAAATTCAATCTAGTTTACATACTGTTCTTACGGATCAAACTATCCAACACTCAAAMTGTAGAGCTTCACCGCGACTTTAACATTAGGCTTTTATGACATGCTATGACTGGGATTCAACAGGACATTTTACAACAAAACTACAGGATGTAGCCCATCTGCCACAAATGAACAAAGGCCAAAACAGCTTAAACCAAAACGACATCACTTTTAAACACTTGGGAGTTAAGTGGAAGCAGGATATTGGAGCTTAATAAACCAAATGTAAAAAAGAGGGGGACCTTTGTGGAGCCAAAAAATACCCAGTGCACTGAACTTTATTTAGTCCACAGTAGACTGACACTGGAAGAATATGAACAACTCAGACGAGATGTTTCTTTARTGAGTGGCTGCTTCTCATCTGTACATCGAACAAATCCAAAACCAGCTGTTAGGCAATCTGCTCTACTTACACATTTGGTTGAGCTACAGTTAAATAAGAAGACCAAATCAGCAGGCATTAAATTGTTTTCTGTTTCACATCACTGTCTCTAAGCCCATGATGTTTTGAGAAAATGTAAAACAGGAACCAGAGGTTCATCTATCATTCATTTTCTTTGCCACAGATCTGTTAACCCCCACTGCTTCTTCTACTAATTTGTAATGAGTATCTCTTTACAGAGGATGGAACCGAAGCTGTCAGGTGAAACGTACACTTGTCACCTGGCAGATCCAACATGGTGGACCATCTGAACCAGCTATGTGCTGGCTCAATGCTGAGGGGGACAGTAAGAAGACCAGAAGGCAACAAGTAAAGCCTGACACCTGGATGGCATTGCATATGAAGACCACTGGGAAAAAAAATAAAATAAAATAAAACCTCGGCTGTTTGAATGAGACAATTAGCTGGCAAACAATTTGCTGTTAAATGAAAAAAAACCTAAAGACATTTAGGTATTAGTGGTTTGAGCATTGCCTTCACAAACCCATTGCATTAACTCATGATGAGTTTCTCTACAGTTTAAAGGCTGACTCTTTGGCTGTGTCACAATTCATGGGCTGGATCCTCCAGCCTATCTGGGCCACGTAGGCCACATCCTTGCTTGGCCGGGTAGGATGCTCAAAACTGCTGCGAAATGAGACGGTCTAGCCT